TGGCTTGCCCGTCTCTACCGGCACCCCAGGCCTCCACGCTCCCCTCCGGCTTGTGGCCCTTCCCCAGCACCCCGGCCCTGCCCCACCGCTGTCCCCTCATGACCCTTCCCCACCGCCGTCCCCTCGCGATCCTTCCCCACCGCCGTCCCCTCATGACCATTCCCCACTGCCGTCCCCTCACAACCCTTTCCACCGCTGTCCCCTCATCACCCTTCCCCACTGCGAAACCTCATGATCCTTCCTCACCGCCGTCCCCTCGTGATCCTTCCCCACCACCTTCCCCTCATGACCCTTTCCCACCGCTGTCCCCTTGTGACCCTTCCCCACCGCCACCTCCATCCCCGCGCGACCCTTCCCCACCGTCATCCCCTTGTGACCCTTCCCCACCCCTGTCCCCTCAAGACCCTCCCCCACTGCCTTCCCCTCACGACCCTTCCTCCTTGCCATCCCATTGCCACCCTTCCCCATCCCCATCCCCTTGCGACCCTTCCCCAACGCTGTCCCCTTGTGATCCTTCCCCATCCCTGTCCCCTCACGACCCTTCCCCACCGCCATCTCCTTGCGAACCTTCTCCACCGCCATCCCCTCATGACCCTTCCTCCTTGCCTTCCCCTCACGGCCCTTTCCCATCCTTGTCCCTTCATGACCCTTCCCCATCCCCGTGCCCTCACGACCCTTCCCCACTGCCGTCCCCTCATGACCATTCCCACCACTGTCCCCTCGCAACCCTTTCCACCGCTGTCCCCTCGCAACCCTTCCTCATCCCTATCCCCTCACAAGCCTTCCCACCACCGTCCCATAATGACCCTTTCCACCGCCATCTCCTCACGATCCTTCTCTACCCTGTCCTCTCGCGACCCTTCCCCAATACTGTCCCCTCACGACCCTTCCCCACCGCCGTCCCCTCATGACCCTTCCCCACTGCTGTCCCCTCGTGACCCTTTCCACCATCGTCCCCTCGCAAGCCTTTCCCACTGCCGTACCCTCGTGATCCTTCCCCACCACTGTCCCCTCAAGACCCTTCCCCATCGCCGTCCCCTCACGACCCTTCCCCATCCCTGTCCCGTCATGACCCTTCCCCACTGCCTTCCCCTCACGACCCTTCCCCACCGCTGGCTTGGGGCCAGCTCCCCCCCCCCCGGACCCGGCGCGGCC